ACTCAATATCTTGCACTCAATGGTTGGCTTGGCAGAGCTGCTGCAGACCACGGCTGATGAGGACTTGCACTCATATAATACCTCCTCGATTATTTGAATTTATTTTGGGCGCCGCGTGCTCGCATGAGTCTGAACGATCCTGGGAGGGTGTTCTGACTTCAAAGTTCCGATATAATGTTATCTTGGAGAGACTACAGCAAATCGGCGCTAGACCGCTATGCTCCTGCGGAGCCGGAGAGTCTCTATCTCTAGATTTCTGTGAGTCCATTTGGAGGTACAGCTGGATGTTGAAAAACGTCATGACCTGCTTGACCGAGGCTTGACCCTGCAACCATCTCGCTGCCGTCCAAGACTCTCAGCGGGCCTTGATTGTTCACCTATCATCCTGAACCTCTAGATGGTGCTCGATTAGGAACAATGGGGAGTGATAGTTCTGGACTTTCAGGACCGGACCCACCGCGCTGCGACCGCAAAACATGGGGTTCTTAAGTGTTCAGTTAGTTGATTCTCTCTGCCTTATCGGTAATACGAGGGGGTATCGTTGGATCATGGCGTTACACTCGGTCGGGTCTTTCCACCTTGCCTTTATGACATCTCTGTTCCCGGGCGTAGATTCAAGTTGAGTTGAGAGATGCCCATCGATTCAAATAGTTACATTGGCTGTTTCAACAGTTGTTTAGAACTGTGCCAGTGGTTTCAAATTGAATCAGGTCATAGCATTCTCCGGAAACCCTTGCTAGCAGCGGTCGTCTGAGCTCACCCAAGCCTGATGAATGACCAACCTCCGCCTCAAAATCCACTCCAGTGATTTCCCTCTTGCCCGACAGGTCTGCCTCTCAAAATGTTCGTCTGAACCCGGACCATCCTTATGATCTGCATCTGTTATCTGCACCCGTCACCCCCATGCCCGTCACCTTCCCGCGCCGGGTAAGATGTGTGGCTCCTGTCATCCTCCTATGTTCTATCTGCCGTTGGTGAGACCCACCCCTGTTCTTCCGTCATGGAGCTGATCGCACTCGAGGACCTCTGCCTATCAAGAACCTAGAATGATCAAAATTGAGAGAGGGTGAACCAGTAGCTACTCATTGCACTCAATCATCAGTTGCCTGGCAGGAACGGTATTTCCGTATTGTATGTAGGTAGGCCCCAGCAGTCTCGAATTTGAATCCCGGTGCATCATTTCGGGGGCCTTCGCAATCCAGTAGTCGCTGCGCGTAGCACGTGGCGATGCTTGTAGAGAAAATACGCGGGTGAGAGTCTGGAAGCCCAGCTACGGACGGAGGCGGGGTTGAGGGGTAAGACACTATCCTCATCATACTAGGTTTGACATAGGACTCACGATCCGACGGCATAGAGAGCTCCTGAAGCTGGCCTTGGTCCAGTTCAGCAGCAAAGAACCCAAACGAACTGGAAAAGGCGAAGAATCATCCGATGAGCGGTAGACATTCGTATCTGCGCCCTTGTATCTGCGCAGACGCTGGAGTGACATGAGCGATGGTGTGCCTGTGAACCTCCGAGCAGTGAAGCTCCGCGACTGACTGATGAGCTCCACAGGTACCACTTGGCGGAATGGTCATCATTCCTCCGTGGCACATGCTGCTTAGAAGCACCCGGAGAGGTGCGTGCGGATAGAGACTGATGTGAGCAGAGTGAATGTGATTCATCTGCTGGAAAAGATTCCATGGATGGACCCACCTATATGTCGTAAGGGATTGCCATCATGGTGTCGCACTACCAGGGAGATCGCAGTAGAAGAGCCTCCAAACCCGCTCTACGCTCCATCGAGTAGGATGTCTCCAGAATTCCGGCAGCTAGAGTCAGGCGCGGTACAAAAATACCACGCAGGGGCTCCCAAGCCTGTCAAAGCCGCTTACAGAAAATCTGTCTGTCAAATCCATATACTTAGAAACGGATTTCGAACTCACGAATCACGAAAGCGTATCTCCTCTTGATATTGATACGTATGAACAACTCCTATAGATATTGGATGCTCTCCATTGCATCAGGTTCCGCAGATTGCATTGTGTGCTAATCAGAGTCCTAGGCCATCAAGTGACCTAGACTGCCTAGTAACCCCGCTTGTGGCTCACGATAGGAGTAATTTGGCGGCTTCACAGGCAGCATAAACAGAGGAGTATAGAGAAGCATCATGACTGCCGAATTTGGGGAAGCAACACACACTCTGATAGTTGCAACGTCGAAGACAGGAGAGTGGGGCCTGTCTTGTAGAGCCGACAAGGTAGCTACCATCCTGTACACATGGAATTCTCGGTCAAAGTCGGAAGCGGTGGGTTTCATATTGCCTACCCGAATCAGGGACACCTGCAGACACGACGGTACATCCCAACGTAGTGCGCAAGAGCAACGTCGCCTCCGAAGCTCCTGGGCCAGTTGTGGACCAATTAGAGTTACTGGCCTTCTTTTCACTCGCAGGCGTTCCATGATAAGCAAGAGGACTCAGGCGTCAGTTCGTCAGGACGTTGGAAGAGACAAGCGATGCAAGTTCGAATCCTTCGTCAATATTGCAGACTGTTGTAGCATGTTATTGTCTCAACTCTGGATCATAAGACTCACTGTTCGCACATCGCTGAATAGCCTTCCTTGACGTGCGGCACATATTACTGGAGGAGCTCCAGTTCGACATATGGGGCTGAGCGGACAGCGCCCTTCCAGTTCAGATCGCTGCTAATGATTTGAGCGTGCTGTATATCCCAAACTTGGACGTAAGGACCCAACTCCGGCAGACTTCGGTGAGAGCCCTCGGAGGGTTGCCAAATGCACAGGAAACCTTTTCCCATCGGCGAGGAAGCCTGTACAATCGGTGACTGCAGTATCACTGATTTTTCTTGCAGCCCTAGCGTGCGCATTCTAGTACCAGGCACTCTGTGTATCAAAAGGCTGAAGTTAGAGGGAGAGATGCGGCCACAGCATGAACACGTCGGCTAATCCGTACCGCTTCATAAAAGGGAGTCGGCCGATAAACACCCTAATACAACAGCAGCATGGTGCGTGCTATCCCAAATCATCCGCAAGACTAGCCATCGAAGCTATCTGAGCACCCCGTCACAGAGTTATACAACATCCGCCGAATAGCGTTCGTAGCATAAAAGAAGCTACAGCTCAAGGGGAGTGTGATTGATAGATTTGAAGAATATACTCTTCATGGCTTGAGACTCGTGATTAAAGATGGCTTGGATCTGTGATGTATCTTACACGCATCCGGAATCACCATTCCACTCACCCCTCTCAGGATCATATGTTTGCCTCCCGTCCAGGGGTCCTAAGCTCACCTTTACCACTTCGCGTTTACCACTGCTGCTAAGACTACAGGCGCTAGTGAGAACGACCAGCAGCTCCAGTGACCGACCCGGGGCATGTATACCCTCAGCCTCCACGGCAAAGATGTGACTCGGAGGTAGCCGGCGGTGCCAAGAACACCTTCGAGTACAACACTGCGCGTAAGCCGATATAGTGACTAGGAGCAATGCGCAGATCGGTCTAGATCCGTCCAGCACAACGATAGGGGAGCGAACGAGAAATGCATATTCGGACGTCTACCTCGGCGGGCAGAGAGAAGCGTATTTAGCAAACACAAATTTTCACTGACTAGTTGGATGGCTTACGATACCGGAGGCGATACGGAGATAAAACGAGAACTATCAGACGTCAAGTCGATACGTACTTGAGGAACAGCTGACATTGTCCGGCTGCGTAGCAAGCTCCCCAGTGCATCATGAAGGTCGGGCAGCAAGGACAAGCTAGTGAACTATTCGTCGACTTGTCAACGCTCAGCTTGTCCACGTTGCGCCAAGTTACACAAAACATGAGAGTCGAGCATTGCAAAATATCGGCGTCAGCGGTCGCTTATGGATGTAATACCCGAAGGCTACCGAGAGAATCATCAGTGCGGTATAGAACTTTCAACTATTGGACGAGTTACCATCTATTGTGATACAAGCGTGCGCCACGAGGAGTAGGCATCCTGAGGAACTGACATAACCATCCAAACTTTGCATGGAGAAATTAGGGCGGGCAGCAGTTCATTGAGATACCTGGATCCCTGAACCAAGATTTTCCTTCTGCCACTGGGCAGAGCAACGGTCCGGGGCTGCACATGCTCCGTTGAGTGTTTCGGTGCAGACCGAACATGAAAGATCCTGACCACGGACGTCGTGCTGAAGCTGACGTGCTGATAAGGAGCACCTATTGTATGTTCAAGCGAGAGATTAGGATACCGGGCCGATCCACTGCCATTGAAGTACTGAGCGGTTGTATATACTACCAACGCGGCAGAGTTCGTGCGAATCTCTTTACGGTAAAGAGGGAGGCCTAGCGTCGGAACTCTGTCGATAATACTGGCAAACTTGATAGGCCTGTCGATAATACCAAGACGTCCGTCGTACACGGGGACTGGAGCGCAGAAATTAGCCCACATACATATAGTACAAAGAAGAAACGCTTACTGCTGTCGGTGGGATCCAATACCACTTTGAAAGCACCGGGGACTCCCTCAGATGAAGAAGGGATCGACCTGTCCGTCTTCACGGATTGCTTGGGACTGAACAAACCGGGTACGTTGTTATCTGCTG